CCTGTTAAGAGATGGGCTTAAGGGAAAAGAAAGAACAGAGCAACTGATTCTGCTTGGCAAAGATTTCACAGAAGACCAGTGAAAAAGTGAAAGTGTTAGTTGTTCAGTTGTATCCAACTCTATGCGACCCCATGAGCTGTAGCCCACCAGGCTCCTCAGTCCATGAATTCTCCAGGCAAGGATACTGGAGTCTGTAGCCATTCCTTTCTCCAGGTGATCTTCCTTATCCAGGGATTGAACCTGGGTCTCTCCATTGTAGGGAGATTCTTTACCAGCTGAGGCACCACAGAAGGCCAAGGACTCACCAATGATTAAGATGTCACCAAGATAACAGAGAAATTTCATTACTGGAAGAAGAAGCAACATGAGTAAAAAGTACCAAGACTTGAATAAAATTCCCAACACACATGAAAGATGTTCACCAAAAAAGTTTAGGCTGAAAAGAATACAATTATTTTTTTAATTTCCATCCCAAAGTAATCAAAGTCTTTGTGCTCATTCCTTCTTGTTAAATCAGTGTAATAAGTGTAAGAAGCAAACCCTGGAAACAATTTCCTGCTTTTGACTATACCTTTGCTCCTAAGAAGCTACTCTGTGTGGTTAAACAGAGCAAGTTTTCATTCAAATATAGAAAACTACTACCAAGACATTACTTCCTTGTCTCCCAAATCATACTGTATCATGTTGTTGGAACATATTCCTGAGCCACTTAAGGAGCCCTGCTCTGAGCTTCACAGGAAACAATATTTCATATAATATGCACTTAGCTCATTTTGTAATTGTCTATACATTGCTGGTGTCTCTGATAACCGTGGATTGTGTCCTTTCTTTTAACTACACTATTCCCAAAGCCTAGCTAAGTGCTAGACCCATAGTTCAGCTCAGTTCAGTTTAGTTCAGTCACTCAGTCATGTCCAACTCTTTGCAGCCCCAAGGACAGCAGCATGCCAGGCTTCCCTGTCCATCACCAACTCCCAGAGCTTGCTCAAATAACGTCTATCAAATCAGTGATGCCATCCAACCATCTCATCCTCTGTCATCCACTTCTCCTTCTGCCTTCAATCTTGCCCAGCATCAGGGTCTTTTCCAATGAGTCATATCTTCACATTAAGTGTCCAAAGTACTGGATTTTCAGCTTCAGCATTGGTCCTTCCAATGAACATTCAGGACTGATTTCCTTCAGGATTGACTGGTTGGATCTACTTGCAGTCCAAGGGACTCTCAAGAGTCTTCTCCAACACCACAGTTCAAAAGCATCTATTCTTCCATGCTCAGCTTTCTTTGTGGTCCAACTCTCACATCCGCACATGACTACTACAGAAACCATAGCTTTGACTAGATGGACCTTTGTCAGCAAGGTAATGTCTCTGCTTTTCAATATGCTGTCTAGGTTTGTCATAGCTTTTCTTCCAAAGAGCAAGCATCTTTTAATTTCAGGGCTGCAGTCACCATCTGCAGTGATTTTGGAGCCCCCCAAAATAAAGTCTGCCATGGTATCTATTGTTTTCCCATCTATTTGCCATGAAGTGATGGGATCAGATGCCATGATCTTAGTTTTTTGAATACTGAGTTTTAAGCCAGCTTTTTCTCTCTCCTCATTCATTTTCATCAAGAGACTCTTTAGTATCTCTTTGCTTTCTGCCATAAGGGTATTGTCACCTTCATATCTGAGGTTATTGATATTTCTCCCAGTGATCATGATTCCAGCTTGTTCTTCATTCAGCCCAGCATTTTGCACAATGTACTCTGCATGTAAATTAAATAAGTAGGGTGACAATATACAGCCTTGACATACTCCTTTTCCTATTTGGAACCAGTCTGTTGTTCCATGTCCAGTTCTAACTGTTGCTTCTTGACCTGCATACAGATTTCTCAGGAGGCAGGTCAGGTGGTCTGCTATCTCTTTAAAAATTTCCCACAGTTTGTCATGATCCGCCCAGTCAAAGGCTTTGGCATAGTCAGTAAAGCAGAAGTAGATGTTTTTCTGGAATTCTCTTGTTTTTTCTATGATCCAGTGGGTGTTGGCAATTTGATCTCTGGTTCCTCTGCATTTTCAAAATCCAGCTTGAACATCTGGAAGGCCTTTGTTCATGTACTGTTGAAGCCTGGCTTGGAAAATTTTGAGCATTACCTTGTTATGTTAGTGTGTGAGATGGGCAAATTGGTGGTAGTTTGAATATTCTTTGCTATTGCCTTTCTTTGGGATTGGAAGGAAAACTGACCTTTTCCAGTCCTGTGGCCACGGCTGAGTTTTCCAAATTTGCTGACATATTGAGTGCAGCACTTTCACAGCATCATATTTTAGGATTTGAAATACCTCAGCTGGAATTCTGTCACCTTCACTAGCTTTGTTCACAGTCATGCTTCTTAAGGCCCACTTGACTTCACATTCCAAGATATGTGATTTTAGGTGAGTGATCACATCATTCTGGTTATCTGGGTCATTAAGATCTTTTGTTTATAGTTCCATGTATTCTAGCCACCTGTTCTTAATAGCTTCTGCTTCTGTTAGGTACATACCATTTTTTCCCTCAATTGTGCCCATTTGTTGTGCCCAAATGTTCCCTAAGTATCTCTAATTTTCTTGAAGAGATCTCTAGTCTTTCTCATTCTATTGCTTTTTTTTTTTTTTTTTCTATTTCTTTGCATTTGTCACTTTCTTACCTCTCTTTGTTATTCTTTGGAACTCTGCATTCAGATGCAGACACATAGTTGGCACTCAGTAAATATCTGTTAGATGAACAAGTATCTTCTCCCTTGTGTTTTTGTACATCTGAAATCTTCTTCTTTTCAGGGTACTGAAAAGAATCAGGGTACTGGGCCAGAACTGGCCAAGCTGTCAGTAGGGCTGACAACTAAGGATTAGGTCCTAGGGTAGGTCACACCAACTGAGGTTCCTGTGGAGAAAAGCAAGAGTGCTGATATCAAGTCCAACTCCTTAAAGAGAATGAACTTTCAAAATCAAGGAAACAGAGGGGAGAATCAGGGTTTTAAATGCAGAGAGAAGCCTAGGCTGTGCCTCTCAAACTGGGGATCTTGTGTTCACAGGCGTATTTGTCAAGGTGCCTTGGAAGACTGGAAGCCATAAGACCAACATGTACCATCTCCCTACAGTATCAAATTTATTCAATGGTGAGTAATTTAGAAATTCCATTTCTATTAAACATAGCCTAAAATACATATCTTCACAGATTTTAACTGTAAAAATGAGATTTCAAAATAACTCTATGCTTTCAAGTGAGCCATTTTAATGTGTATGCCAAGTTCCTAGAGTCGTGTGCTTTTCCTCTTGATGTTGGGGATGCTGCAGCATGAATTTCTGAGAAGCATAGATAGGGTAAGAAACTAAGCAATACCAAACTCTCAAAGAAATACATTGGGCACAATTCGAGAAGGATCTTGAGCACCCGACAAGAGCAATACTGGGCTCTCCTTACCTAATCTTACTGATTTGCATAAAGGTGAATTCTATGGATTAGAGAAAATGATAAGTAGGTGATTAGATCTTCTTTTTAACTAAAACCAACTTTTTTCTTATTACAGAAATAATGTATAAAACAAGATTCATCACAAGTTGATAATTGTTGAAGCTAGCTGGTGGATACTTGAGGGTTCATTATACTATTTTCTGTATTTTGGGGTTGATTTGAAAGTTTTCCACACTAAAAGGTTAATGAGACAACAACAGCACATACTTAATTATAGAAGACTACAACATACAGGCAAGCAAAAGGAACAAATGTAAAAGAAATGTAATTCCAATGCCCAATACTTTCATAATGTGGGATTAATTTTCTATTCTATTCAAAGACATTAGATAGTTATTTTTTTTTAATTGTATCGGACTCTCCAAATGCAAGTCATCCTATACTCCATTGAGTACTCTGATTTGGGAAACTGACCTTGGCTTAGTGAGTAAGTCTGAGTATGAAGTCACATTCCCTTTCCCCACGAGTTTAGAAATCTGAATATGATGCAATTCTAACCAATGATAAATTAGGAGGTGGTTGCTAGAGACTTTTAGAGAGATTCTTCTTTGGTCTTTACAGCAAGTGATAGTCTGTCATTCTCTCCTTCTCCCTTTGAATGTGAATGAGGAATCAACTTCTTTCGATTATTTTGGGAGCCAGCTGGAGGATAAAGCAGATATTTTGAGTGAGAGAGCAAAGAGAAGTAAACTAGTTCCTTTACAACATTGTTACCTCACTGAATCAAGAACCCAAAAGCCTTCCCTATCTCTGGTCTAGACCAATTGGATAAACACATCTAAGCAATAAATAAATATATCATTTTAAATTCATTTTAGGAACTCTTCTGGTGATCCAATGGCTAAGACTCCACGCTTTCAATTCAAGGGGCCCAGATTCAATCCTTGGTCAGGGAACTAGTCCCACATACCACAGCTAAGAGTTCCCATGACACAACTAAAGATCCCACATGCTGCAACAAAGATCAAAGATCCTGCTGGCCACAGTGAAGACCTGGTGCAGCCAAACAAACAGACAAATAAAAATATGATATTTAAAAAAGAAACAAATTAATTCATTTTGAGTTGGATGTTCTATTACTTGCTGCCAAAACTATCCTAACTCACACATTCAATTTAGTCTTTGTGTCTACTTAAGGATATATCATGAACATCTTCCCATGTCAATGAATTCAATTCTATAGCATTTTTTTTTTTTTTTTTTTGGCCTAGCTGTGTGGCTTGTGGGATCTTAGTTCCCCAATCAGGGATCAAAAACCCATGACCCCCTGCAGTGGAAGTTCAGAATCCTAACTACTGGGAATTCCCTACAGCATTGTTTTGAATACATATTCTATTGTACACTTTTTTTTAAACTTTTTTTAAAAATTAATTAATTAATTAATTTTACTTTACAACATTGTGTTGGTTTTGCCATACATTGACTTGAATCCGCCATGGGTGTCCATGTGTTCCCCATCCTGAACCCCCCTCCCACCTCCCTCCCCATCCCATTCCTATGAGTCACTTATACCTCCCCAACATCTTCAAAGTTTAATCGCAACCTTCTTGTAGTACTATCAGATGCATGAAGTTCTTTACAAGTAAATCCATTAAGGACAAAATCTCAATATCTTTTCTGAAGGCAGGACTACATCTCCATTGAGTGACAAGTATAATTAGACAGCAACTACATTCAAGACCATTGTTATCCAAGTTCAAGATTTGACACCAAGGTAGTAATTCTTTCCTGTAAATGCATGGAAAGTTTTACATGGTATTGTCTTCTTTACCAGCCTTAATCAGGGCAAAAGTTACTATAACTTGATACTAGAACCATTTATCACCTCATATAGGATGCTATGCAAATTATTTCTCACTGAGCTGCAGGCAAAGGTAGGGCTCAGTGGCGAGAGATTTGTGATGACTCTTTTCCTGACATATTCACATAACAGTATGAGTATGAATGGTCCTTTCCATAAACTGATCTGAGAGTTGAGAACCTTTTCTTAGGCTGGTTATCAAAATATTCAAAGCACAACAAATACCAATTCATGAGAGCCCTTTCTGGAAATTCTTTATATGTGTTCTCCATTATTTCATATTGTTTGTCAGTTCTTGATATCATACCTATGAAAAGCTCAGTCTTCTTACCAGTAGGAGACATTTTATCTAGCTAAATGTCACAGATAAGAGAAAGATCACAGATCAGGATTCTCTTGGGAAAGTTTTAACCTAGGAGTTGAGACCAGCAACACAAGTTCTCCATGCCTCAATATGACGAAATCTAGGAAAAGAAGCTAGACCCAGATGCTACTGGCAGGATAATTACCTAGAATACCACAAAGGGAGGAGCCAGGCAAGTCAACTCTAGTATATCTCTCTTCCCACTCTTACAAAGTAAATAGTATCAACCTCCTTGTAGGAAGATAAATTTGGACACTTTTTGCAGAGGAAGAGCCCAGCATGCTAGAGGGCTGATGACATTGAGAAGAATGAGGAGCATTCCCAACCCAGAAGACCATCAGCAAATCTTTCTGATTGTAACCACCAGGCATAACACCCTTCAGCAGATTTAGAGAGAACATGGTAGAAGAAATATTTCAGAAAGGTGATCACTAGCATTGCCCAGAACTTTGCAAAGACATGAAACCTCAAAAGGGCCAGAAAATGTCACACAAAATTAAATACACCAAGGCTAGATGGTGAAATGTTAGATAGCAAGTAAAGAGGAAAATCTTGATGGTTCTAGAAAGAAAAGATACATTCCTTCCAGGATAATAGAAACAGACTTACAATAAAAACTGCTGAAACAACAGAAGGAAAACAAATTTTGAACCCAAAATTCTACACCCAGTCCAATTATCAAGCAAACAAACTCATATTTCAGAGAAAACAGTAACTGAGAATTTGATGGCCTTGTTTTCCAATTCTATATGAGTTTAAGTATGTAAATAAGTTTATGTGTTTCAGATATGATATACGGCTGGTCCTACATTGTGACTCCTGCCAATTGCCTACTATGTATGAACGTATTCATTTATTTCTCTGCAACTAAACTGATTCTTTGGGAACTACATTCAGCTGGCTCATACACGAATTCTCACAGATTCCCCTGTGCCTCCCCACTTCCTTGCAAAGAATAATTCGTGCTCTAAATTTTCTTGGCTCATGTCTCTAGCCTGAATCTCCTACCTCTAAAGTCCTTTCTTCTACAACGCTGCATGTCTGCCAACTTTGAGGTACTGCCTCTCTCAATCTGGCTCAGTCAAATACCACTTAAACCTTGGTTAGGGCAGATTGAAACTTTTATTTACACACAGGGTTTATATGTTCTTTTAGAGGTTTAGGCTACACTGTGTCAATAATAAATCAGGGAACTTCCCTAGTGGTCCAGTGACTGGGACTCTGCCCTCCCAATGCAGGGGGCCTGGGTTCGATCCCTGATCCGAGAACTAGATCCCACACGTGACAAGGATCCTGCATCCCACAACTAGGACCCAAGGACCCAATGCAGCCAAATACATACATACATAAATTTTTAAAAAAATATGTAATGAATCAGAAGAAATAAAATAATCATCTTAGTTTCTTTAAATTTAAATCTAAGCCTTGCAATTTACTAATCGTGTGACCCAGGGCAAGTTTTACTGAACACACTTAAACTTGTTTTTATAAAATGAGGAGAATATCTTTTTTTCTACCCCAAGGTTATTGTGCAAAACAAATGACATAATATATTTAAGGAGCCAAAAACTACTCAGCTGTCAATAAATGTGAATTTTCTTTACTTCTTCCCTCTTAACAGTAATGTGAATGCTGCCTATAAAAAAGAAATGCGAATTTATTTAACCTTAAAAAATAATTTGAGAAAAAGAAACAAAAATTCATTTTCTTAAGTCCATGAACAAAGAAAAGCTAAAAGTGAATATACAATATGAGATTTTAATTTACTCATGTTGCCATCTGTGAATGCCTATTTAAAACCAAATTATCAAATATCTGAGTATGAAACATACATAGAACACTCCCAATATATTTATACATGGAGTTATATATTTATGTAACTGAAGTGTATAGCCTGAAAACTTGTTCTTTAATTTACGATGAGAAATATTGTCAACCTGGTTAAGTGGAACATGTTTTTCAGTTTTTCCTGGCCAGCACATTCACTTCTGGGAGCAAATCTTCTGGGAAAATCAAAGTATCAGAATATTCTCTAATGAGCATGAAGTTAGAACAGAAGGCATTAGTGATGTAATTCCAATGTACCCCATATTTCTTCCCTACAAGGGATATCTACACTGCTGGGTTATCCAAAAACAAAGTGGCCTCTCACCTTCTTAGCATCATATTGTTTTTGTGCTATGAGTGGTAGACTTTGGGACTCTACTTGTCTATGCTTCTGTTTCTCCATTTGTTTTGCCTTCAGTTGAGGTCCTGAAACTATCCAGTGAAGTATGGACTTTAAATTTTGAAGTAGGAGAAATTTCCAATGAGAAGGCAGCATGCAGTTTTTCCACATTCTGATGTGGAAATTGGCCCTCACACTTGCACACAAGTAGCTTTTCATTATTCTTGAGGGGAGTCCTGAATGTGGAAAAGTAACCCCCAAAAGGGGGTCTAACATTGGGCTTAAGTGTATATATATATATATATACATATATATATATACACAAATATAAAAGTGTATAAAAATATAAATGTGGTTTATTAGCCAGACTGCCATCACAGAACTGAAGACAGTTTCTCCGAAATCTAGATTCAGTCTATACTGTACCTGAAAATTACTACTTTAGTCTTAGAGGCTGTGATCATAATTTTTGTTCAAGAATTTCTTCCAACAGGGGCAAGTGATGAAATTATAGGTCCTGTGCAGTGGCAACTTTGCTTTGCTTTACCTTGAAGGCAAGACTGAAAGTAAACTTTATTGAATTTGGGGCAGTGACATCTGGACTATAATGGGGCTCTTTCACACAAAGTTTTAGATGAGAGGTATGAGTGTTAGTTGCTCAGTTGTTTCCTACTTTTTGCAGCCCTATGGACTGTAATCTGCCAAGCTCCTCTCTCCATGGTATTCTCCAGGCAAGAATACTGGAGTGGGGTGCCATTTCCTGCTCCAGGGAATATTCCCAATGCAGGGATCAAACCCACATGCCTCTTATGTCTCCTGCATTAGTAGACAGATTCTTTACCTCTAGTGCCACCTGGGAAGCCCATAGTTGAGATGGAGTTGGGCAAACACTATGACTGTTTTGAGTAGCTGATAAAACCAGACTCCATAAAAGGAAAAGAATGTGGGTTTTCCCCTGAGAAGAACGGAATTCTCCCACATAGGCACTGTGGGTGCATGTGTGTGTGTGCACATGCCACTGGAATCCTGATGGTTACAATGCAGGGACCTGGAAGTGTACCTGGGCTTTAGGTTGCAAGAGTAGCTACTTATGATGGCAGCTATTAACAGTGATTCTAAACTAATGGACCACAGTCCCATTGAGGTCCACAAAAGTGTTTGATTTGGCCATGGTAGTATTGGGCTCCAAATCACTACAGATGGTGACTGCAGCCATGAAATTAAAAGACAGTTGCTGTTTGGAAGAAAAGTTATGACCAATCTAGACAGCATATCAAAAAGCAGAGACATTACTTTGCTGACAAAAGTCTGTCTAGTCAAAGCTATGGTTTTTCCAGTGGTCATGTATGGATGTGAGAGTTGGGCCATAAAGAAAGCTGAGCACAGAAGAATTGATGATTTTGAACTGTGGTGTTGGAGAAGACTCTTGAGAGTCCCTTGGACTATAAGGAGATCAAACCTGTCCATCCTAAAGGAGATCAGTTCTGAATATTCATTGAAAGGACTAATTCTGAAGCTGAAACTCCAATATTTTGGTCACCCAATGTGAAGAACTGACAAATTGGAAAAGACCCTGACGCTGGGCAAGATTGAAGGCAGAAGGAGAAGGGGATGACAGAGGATGAGATGGTTGGATAGCATCACTGACTTGATGGACATGTGTTTGAACAAACTCCGGTAGTTGGTGATGGACAGGGAAGCCTGGCATGCTGTAGTCCATGGGGTTGCAAAGATTTGGACACGACCGAGTGACTGAACTGAGTGTCATATTAAAATAAAAAGTTAAAAAATTGAGTGCTAACATTGAAAAAGAAAGTTTCACTTAAAAATATGAGTTTCAGACTTTTCTCACAAAATCAGACCTGGCAAAACTAAGTTTATTTCCATGGGTCAGCAATCAGTTAGCTCTAAAAACAGCAGCTTCTCTTTTTAAATGGAGTATGTGTGAGCCAGTTCACCACCACTTGCACTGATATCATTCCTGCTATTTCCTGATACTGCAGCCAAATGTCATGGCCACTTTTCTTACACCAACAGACTTCACATATTTTCATTACCAGCCAGACCTGGGTTGACACTGAGCTGGCAACTGCTACGTCACCCAACTCAAATGTCCACCGATGTCTGGCTGGTAATTCCATGGACAGAGGAGCCTGGTGGCTATAGTTCATGGGGTCACAAAGAGTCAGAA